CTTGACCTGACTTAAGCAGTATGACTTCTCATACCCATGGCATTATCATAGAATCCTAGACTGGCCTGGGCTGGAAGGGACCTTAGAGATCATTTAATCCAACCTCCCTGTCACGGGCAGGGGCGCCTCTCAACAAGATCAGGCAACACACGGGGATTATGGGAGAAAGCAATTTACTTCACCTTTTACAAGTCCCTTGTCAGCATCCACAGCAGATTTACCTAGACAATATAAGTCAAAAAGCCTATTTTCTTTCCCTGTGATTATTTATAGTGTATAAAGGCTTTTTTTCTTAACCAGTGCTTCTCTCTAGCAATTCACTTACCTTTCACTGTATATTATTTGCAACAAAAAGCTTTTTTTGATGTTAACAGGGCTACGTTGCAACCAAGGTACTTCCAAAACACACCTGCATCATTTCTAAAATGGACAGGAGCTTTTTGCTTCACAAACAGTTTCCTGCACCACGTCCAGGACACAAGGTAGGATGGTGACTGAAAGGTGGGGAGAAAACTAAATCAATTCCCCATTAAAAGCTTGTTCCCTATGCATAAAGAGGAAAAAAGGCTCCACGAACTGAAGACAAGTTTTGCAGCAGGGCTGAGTCACTCTAAGAGCTCTGTCTTTCGAAAGTTGCATCGCAATTGAACAACCTCTTCTCCATTATCAAAGATGAGCCTACAGATTCCAAAATCCCTCTTTGATTTGCCTAAATGCTGTTTCTGGATTTGTGCCTTTGATGCTTAGGAACGTGATCCTCATGAACTTCCACCCAGAGAGAATCGCTTCCTGATCTCAGAAAACAGACTCCACAACTTGCGCCCGTACGGAAGACGCATTGAAAATCTGTGCAGAGGAGTTCCCGCCTACTTTGCTTACCCAGTTGCTGGTGAGTACACTAGAAACAGTGTTTTGTGTACCAAAATAAAGATGAACAAGGTTACAAGTAAGGATGAAGCACATTTAAGTGAAGACGAGCAAGTTAATTATTGAAATCCAGTGGGTTTCTGTGGTGGTTTTCTATAAATCAGTGAATATGCACATAAGGAAAAACTCAGGCCGGACTCTGCAGGTAACAGGAGCCCAGGCTTGATCAGCGAGAGCTTTGGGCTCAAGCTCTTGACACGAGTCTCGGTGTTTTTAGGCAACTCCATGCATATACAATACCCAGCTACCACAGGTCCTGCCACAGCACAATTGTGAGATTCAAAACCCAACTCGCAGCTTAGATGTGTCTAAGATTGCATTAACTGGCGCTCGTAGCGCAAGGTTGGAAAGACACAACGCAGTGTTCAAGTGACATTTCCTGGTACCTTTCCAACATTAAGCTGGAACCAGTTCACCTGGATTTATTTTCTTCTTTTCTCAGTCCACGTCTAATCAGTATTTCCTTTTCTTTCAGGATCAAACTTCTTAAACGAAGGTGTCACATGTTCAGAAGTTGAGATTAACGGGCTTCCCGTCTATTACTGTCAATCCAAATGAAATTTTGAGGAAGAAAATTCATAGAATTGAGCACCCACAAACAAGATTTTTCTCCCTGATAATCTCTTGATCATTCTTTCAATCATTTATCTGTCTCTTCTGCTCTGTGAGGAAGCTGTTGTGTCTCAGTTGGCCTATGTGAGTTTTTACGAATCAATTAAACTAGTGCATGCAGTTCCAAAGACACATTGCTGAACTAGTGTTCTTTCAGAATCCCAGTTCTGGCATTCAAACCTCATCCTCTACCATTTCCCAGGCAGATTTCACACGCTGCCTTAAAAAATTACTCATCCCTACTAAAAGCAAATGGTGCTACACCTACTGCAGTAACTATATTGAAGACAATATGGTGGAAAGTCGAGACTTATGGAAAGAAGCTCATCTGAGTTATTTTATTTTAGTTTCTTGTCAACATATTTTGTATCACAATGGTTTATTTTAAAAACAACCATTGCGGTGCAATATGGCCGGTTACAGAGACAGGCACACTATTGCTCTGATGAAATCAAGCTGCAAATAATGCAACTAGTCAGTGCACTAAATGCAGTTTGGAGTTGAATACACATTCATTACCCATGTTTGATAGAAGTTGAACACGGGAAGTAAAAAGACATTAACAGTGCACTCACAAATTCAAAATTCTATACGGTAGGCTCTAGGTAGGCCAAAAGCAAGGCAGAATGGCTGGGACTAGTTTCTTCATCTGAAAGGATCACTTCAGGAGCTCACTCTGGCTGGAGAACGCCCCATCCTCACCTTGTCTCCTTGCTCAGGTGCCCTTGCCCTGCACGTCGAAAGGAATTTCTCTGAGAGACACTTCACCCCCGCAGGAACAGTCAAGGCTTTCTCTAAATACGGGGTGCAGCAGCCTGCTCGGGTCAGGAAACTGTTTCTGGGGTCTTTATCAGTGACTGACATAAAAATCAAAGACAACTGCACCCAAAAGTATTTTAGCACCTCCAAAGAAAAGCAAACATAGTATTTACACAAAGTTCCAGTCCGACTCCCCTGGGTTTTCTGGAGAGAATCTCCTCTTCCAAACTTACTCTGCATTTTCCCCGAGATAAAGCAAGCACAGCCCTCTTCACTTATCCCATCGCATCCTCCTAGGAAAGGTCTCCCTCTGGGACTATCTCTGCCTTGGGGCCTTTGAGCCCTTGAAGACCGTGAGCCCACATCTCTCCCAGATGCTGATGCTCCCGAGGCAGCAGGGCTTGGACCTGCACAGGGTCTGTGGCAGTATTTTTTGGGCCATATAATTTGGTGGGCCCTGTGGTTACATGGTAACACACAGTGCATTGGGGAAGGTACAAAAGCTCATGTTTATTTCGTCGACTGCCAGGCTTTTCTGGTTTTTTAAACCCTAGGATACCTCTGCTTTTAGGTTTGAAAAGCAGTTAGTTCATCTCAGAAAGTTACTATAAAACACATTTAATTTTTCAGTGCAAATAGATTATTATCTGATAATTATCAGACTCAGGCAGGTCAAAATTTGCAGAAGCACGGTCCCCACATTTGAAGCAGTTACATCAGGAAATACTTGTCAGTGACATGCAGACAGGGATACAATCACAAACATTTTGTCATTTTGATGCTCAACCCTTCCGCACTTAACTCTGAAAACAAATATAGGGTGGACGGTTCTCATCGTTCATTCTACCTGCACTAGCATAAGCTCTGCAGGCAAGATGAAGTTCACTGTGACTATACACGCTTTTGTTTCTTCAGAAACTACACCTCTGATTCAGAACCATTGCGTTTGTCTCTTAGAACTGCCCATGCCTGTCTCTAACACACACACACAAAAAAGCTATTCTCTGGGGAGACTTTTCTCCTGCAAAGTGAGCAACGCACACCTTAGGAACCTAACCAGATGACAAGTGAAGGATGTTTTTTAACCGTACATTACTCAGTCTACAGGAAGCCTAATCCATATGCATTGCTGTCAGTGCTTTTGCAAAACTGCAGCGGGGCACCAGGGGATCAATCACTTCCTTAAAATCCTTCTCCTCATTCTTTTCAAATATCTGCATGCGACTATAAGTGTCTCAGAAGCACCTTCAGATTCAGCTCTTGGAAGGGCAACCTACTATGTGTCCAGTCTGCATTATTCTAGGTTAAAGCAAGGATGACTCACTCCAGGTGACTACAGTGACTCCAGTGTGAAAGGAAAGCAGGATCCAAGGAATACACTTAAAAACCAGATGAGGAAAAAGGCACCAGGATTCTCATGAAAATATTTCTCAGCCAGACCTGCAGTGACACTTCTATTCTCAATTTTCATTTCAGATTGTAACTACTGTTCTTCCTGGACTCTTTCTGGTGAGTATAAAGATGAAGTGAGTATAAAGACGAAGTTAAACATACATTGCTGCTGTTTCTATATTTCCTGTTTCTTGAGTTTTCCTTGTTCTTTTCCCATCCCTTTGGAGGAAATGAAGCCAAAACTTCTTTCAACCATAAAACTCTAATGCCACTAGGTGACAGTTGTAAGATACAGAAATTATTCATTGAATCTATTAAAAGAATTCTTACAGCTACTCTAAAACACGATAACCGTAATTCTGTGTCATTTTCGAAATGCTGTAGTCACCCAAAGGGCACCGTGTGGGCCAGCATATATTGTATTACAGCAGTGATTTTCTAAAGATTGCAGGATGTAATTGATTAACTTGAAGGTCTAAATGTGATGTTTAATTTTGTTTTCCAGCTGCAGAATTTGAAAGCAAACAAGAAAACCACCACTGTTGTAGGCAACCAAATCTTGACCATCAATTGGGACCAGCGCGCGGCAGCTCTTGAGGAAGAGAATTCATGGGTCATGGAAAACTGTTTGAAACTCCAGTATGGTGAGTGGCAAGGAATATGCTTCTCCAGAAAATGCAGAAGAAGACTCACTCCTGTAAAGCTGACCAAAAGACAGGACTTGCTTCTTTATTCTTAACATTTTGAGGTCAAGTTTTGTGGTACGAACTATGTACATTTATTACCTTTTTAATATAGACTTAATTCCAATCTTAATTAATAAAATCCTGAGTTATCAATATCTTTATTTTACAGGGCTTTGTTGTAAGCAAAGTGAAGTCAGAAGGAGCTTGCTTCATTTCCTTAATGAACAGAAAGGAGATTCCCAACCTTAATGCACTGAACAGACTGGCTGAAGAGAGCAAGGTAAGATTAAAAACGAGTAGTTACTTGTAAAGTTGTAATGCACAGTCAACTGGTGTCAGACACACTGCGATTTTCAAAAGATTTTAAACCAACAGTTCTTTAAAAGCCGTTTAGATCATGCCATTCATTACAAACTTGTATCAGTTTCAATGTCCTCTTACATTTAAATAATGTGAAACCTTTAAAAAGGGAGAAACATAGAATCCCAGGTTGGAAGGGAGCTCAAGGATCATCTGGTCCAACCTTTCTTGGGAAAAGCACAGGCTAGGTAAGATGGCCCAGCACTCTATCTAGCTCAGTCTTCAAAGTGTCCAAGATTTCAAGCTTTTAAAACTTTTTCAAAAGAAAAAAGCACTTTATTGGCATGAGTTCAGCCCACAGTTAGCAGAGTCGTATAAATATTATCTCAGCATTCAGCATTCTAACCTTTTGTTGCTGAATGATGTTGTTTGATGTTTGCACTGGCCAGGTCAACGACAACCTAAAAAAGAGATTACAGACGTCCATAATAGACCTATTCATGACCTCAGTCTTACGGACCAGAAATCTTCACTATGTGCAGAGGATTCAAAATCTACACGGCTTATGAAGTTCACGGTGAGTGCAAGTGAATTATGTCTGTAACCAGGCATTTTTTTCCTTTGGAGATTAGTACAGAAATGCTGCTCTTCCAACTAGAGATGGACACAAATCAAGAACTTCAAGAGTTGCAGAAATGGTTCAGTATCTCTGCATATCAGGATTGGAACAGTCTTGAGTCACAACCTCCAAAAATGATCTGATCCAAGCCGTTACCGCTAACATTGTTCATAGGTGGAATGATCACATATATAGCAATAACACAACCCTACAATGCACTGCAATAGATAAAAACAGAAAAGGGTGTAATAATATTGCACTGTAGTGGAAAATATTAAGTAGCATCTCTTGGTTGTCATTCACTTCTGAGTTCAATATCCAGTTGTGCCTGGTGGCAACAAAAAAACCTTTCACTCATACATGAGTGCAAGTATTTCTATTGCACAGAGCGATAAGAGACGCACAGTTGTCGAATGTTGGCTGTTGCTATGGAGACTAGTATAAATCCTCTGTCTTGCTGTGGGTGCCACGATCATATTCGCAGTACTTCCAATATAATTTCTTGTATTGTGGGGAAAAAAAAGAAATTCCTTTTACATATATGTAAAGGAACTACGTTTTACTCGCTGCTTGCTTTGCACTGATAATTGTTTTGGTAGTTGAGGTGGCTCAATTGGATTAAAAACGCAAGCACAATGTGCCAGGTTTAAAGGGCTGCCGACAAATGCACAGATCTCTCAATTCTCATCTTAGGTATTGACTCATGAGATTTCTTTTTCTTCCTTGTTTTTCAAGGACTCCAAAATATAATCAATGAAGCATCATGCAAGAGACTTGATGTCGTGAATTTGAGACCTTACCTATTGCCTTTTCGGTAACAAGGTGTGAAAATCTTACCTTTATTGACTTGAAGCTTGAAGCTGCACAAAGCCCACCCTGATGCTGTTCTTCCCTGGCATCTCCTCTTTCAAGGGTTTTGTTCTTGATGATTCAGATGCTGAAACAGATTAATTAGACACTGTATCTTTCATCAAAGCTCTCTGGCATGGATTAACTCTGGCTAGTTTCTCATTACATCACATTGAGCACTCATGGGAATGAGGCTTTGCGTCAAAGATGGCATGCACAAGAGAAACACAATTAGTGACCCACATCAGACAGTGCAGTGTTCCCAGCTGCCTCCTCCCAAACACCTTTAACTCAGTCCTGAAGATGCCCAAAAAGCAGCCTCAGATTTCCTTCCTTAGGGCTGCAAAGGCACAGCAAAGGGAGATGAAATATTTATTCCATGTATGCTGACAGGGGTATGTAGAAAGAGTCTTTGTGCTTCCCTGATAGCTACTCCTGGATTCTCTCGGTCCAGTCTTCCAGTAGCACAAAATTGACACAAATCAAGCCAGGAGTACAAGCATGTTGCTGCTGAATTAAAGAGGGCATTTGAATTAACAAGGGCATTTGACAAGCTCTGATTTGTCAGCTCTTGGCTAAAGACTACTAATCCCCTGACACCTTCCTCAGTTTTTATTACCCTCTCTCTGAACCCCAGAGGCTTTATTTTGTAGCAATTTGAAAGGTTATAGAGTTCACTTAGGCACAGCTTGGGCAAAAGCATCTCAGTTATCTGAGTAAGCACATGTCGGTCCTAGTGAGGGGGAGTGGGGAAGGGGGAGAGAGAGAGAGAAGAGGAGAGCGAGGAGAGTGAAAAGAGAGAGAAGAGAGAGAAGGGAGAGAAAAGAGAGAGAGGGAGAGCAGTTATTTTAACTCCTTCTAATTCAGTTCTCATTTTACTACAGAAAGAGGCAAGAATCAAGGTTTAGGAAGAATTTTCACTTCTTTTTAGTCATTATACAGTATCATAAGAAAATCTCTCAGCTCCTGTCATGCCTTACTTTGTTGGTAGTTCCCTGTTTAAGACTCTTTCCAGAAGGGACCACTCTACCGAGCACGTGTCAGTATAACCAACCTCTTGCAGAATAAGAAAAAAGCCTTCCCGGCCACTGGGCGTCAGCCTTGAGTTACGTGTTGTACAATCGAAATGTAAAGGCACACAACTACCCAGAGTACTACTGACCTACACCGCAGAAGACAGTGTATGATAATAGCAGAGATGTGCCGAACTACACCATTGAAGACAGAGCCTGGGAATTTAAGAACGTTTCTACACTGATGACAGGGAAGTAAGTCCTGTACAGTGTATATCTGTGATGATAACATTAGTGATTTGTTACTTCTTGGTTATCCAAGTCAGAGTTACAGTGCCAACCACGGTTGTCAGCAGCTCCCTCCATCTCAGGCTGCTCTAAGTTTCATCCGATGCCTCATTCCTTGGCTTTTCCCCAAGCTTTCCTGGGCCTTCTGTCAGCCGGAATTGAAAGCTACACAGGGAATCTGATCTCCTCCTTCCATTTCCCCTCCTTTCCATCTGCTAGCTCAGTTCCTTTTAAAATACCGAAAAAGAATCCTATCATTAGTCTCATCCTCTTCCTTAGGGCAATACAATATTCCACTACACACACAAGACCCATAATTGCACAATTTGTGCATCCCAAGCTTCAAAACTATAAATTGATTTGTTCCAGAGTAGCTGTATGAAACTTAAAAATGCCC